GCAATAAAAAAGAATTTTTGGTAAATGCAAAAACCTGGATAAATACAAAAAAACCAATGGCTTAAGCAAAAGCATCAGTGTTGTCCTAAATAGTTTAGCTTAGTGGATAGAACGTCGTATTGAGAACTGAAGGGTCTCTGGTTTGATTTTGGTCAAGGGCACATGCCTGGGTTGCAGGGCGAATTCCCATTAGTGGACATGCAGAGGCAGCCGATAAACGATTCTCTTTTATCATGGATATTTTTTTCTCTCTCTCTCTCTATTAGTGGACATGCAGAGGCAGCCAATAAACGATTCTCTTTTATCATGGATATTTCTCTCTCTCTCTCTCTCTCTCTCCCTTCCTCCCTCCCTCCCTCTCTTCCTCTCTGAAATCTATATATATATATACACACACACTCATATATGTATATATAGTATATGTACATATAGAAAAGGAAAAGTAAGTGCTGAAAGGTTACGTACTTTATGATTCTATTTATATGATAATTTTGAAAAGCAAACTACAGTAACAGAAGACAGACCGGTGGTAGCCAGGAGGTATGAAGTGCAGATTGTGTGACTACAAAGGGATAGCACTGTTGCTTTTCCTGATTACAGTGTTTGCTAGAGGAACATATTACATATTAAAATTCATGAAATGGTATTAAAAAAATAACCCCTTTTACTGTGTATTAACTTTTTAAAAAGTATATCACCAACCCTGGCTGGTGTGGCTCAGTTGTTTGGAGCACTGTCCCTGTACCAAAAGGTGGTGGGTTCGGTTCCTAGTCAGTGCACATACTCAATGTAAAGGGAGGCAAAAGATCTCCTTCCCCTCTTCATCCCTCCTTTCCCTCTCTAAAATCAAGTTTTTAAAAAACTATTTAATCAAAGAATTCAAGTGTTAGAGATCTACAGATCATTTAATCTCATATTTTTTAAAGATATGATTCCCAGTTGCAGCACATACTTAGGTTGTGGGTTCAGTCCCGGGTCCGAGCACCTTCAAGAGGCAACCATTGAGGTTTTTTCTCTCTTTCTCTCTCACTCTCTCTTCCTCCCCCCTCTCTAAAATTAATAAACATATCCTCAGGTGAGGATTTAAAATTAAAAAAAAAAAAAAAAAAAGTTCACAACTTAGTATAAAATATATTTACCTCAAAATGAGAATTTCAACCAGAAATACAAACTAAGGGGGAGAAACCAAGATGGCGGCATAGAAAACACTTAACTGCTGCCTCTAACAACAATATCAAAACTACAACTAAAAAACAAAACAGATACCATCCAGAACCACAGGAAAGCTGGCTGAGTGAAAATTCTACAACTAGAAGAAAAGAGAGAAGCACACTGAGACTCAAAGGAACTATAAAAGGCTGAGGTACAGACTCGCATGCAGAGAGGACAGGCGGTTGTGTGTATGTGTGGCTGTCTTTCTAAAGTGGGAGGGAGAAGGAAGCTCCTGACTACATTGAACTGCAGTCCCGAGCGTGACACTGGGAAACCAGACTCATTCAGGGGAAATCTGGACTGTCAGGAAAAAAGAAAGCACACTGATACTCAGGAGCTGCAGAAGGCAGAGGTCTAGAGAAGCATGCGCACTGACTGCTGAATGCACGGGCTGCTGAGTACGTGGCTGGCTTTCTAAAGCAGGAGGGAGTCAAAAGCTCCCGACTGCGCTGAACTCCATCCACTTCCAGGCAAGATTTTGGGAACCCTGACTCATTCGGGGAGAAACTGGACTGTCTGGGAGCGGGCGAAACTTGAGGGAGGCTTGGTCTCAGATGTGCCTGCAGCAATTACTGAGGGACACTGAGACCCAGGGGCCTTATAGGGCAGGGCTGATGGGAAACCAAGGCCGTCTGCTCCATCCTGAAACTCCACTCCATCCAATCAGAACACAGAGGTTTTTGCAATTTTACAAGTTTTGTCTCATAAGAGCATCTTCAGAACAGAAGTTCTCCCAGCATAGACACAGCTGATCCTCACAGCCAATTCCTGGAGGTTAATTTCTCCCAGTGATACCAACAACAATCCCCTGTCCTCTCTGAAATCAATAAAAATATATTTTAAAAAATTATGATTTGGTATTAATTACCTCAACTAACACAGTATTTTTAATTGCTGGGATGTTTTTGTTTGTATTTTGGGCTATCAGTCATAATTAAACACCTACTTGTTGCAGATTCTATAATAAATCTTGAAAACACATCCCTGTCCTCAAGGAGCATAGTTTAGTAAATGATATAAGCATGTACAATATAACATAATACAATAATGAAGGGACAAAGCAGAAGAGAGAAGACAATCAGAGAAAGTCAGGGAAGGTTTCACAGGGTATCCAAATTGGCTTTTAAGGGAAAAAAGAAATTTGATAGTAAGACTTAAATGTCATTTCCTTATATGAAACTCTAGAAAGACAAATTTAATCTAACGTGATAAAAGGTAGACCAGTGGTTGCTTAAACCAGAGATGGGGGGAGATAGATTGAGATGCATGTATACAAGAGAACCATGGAAGTGATAGAAATGTTCAGAATTAGCTGGGACCGGTTTGGCTCAGTGGATAGAACATAGGTCTGCGGACTGAAAGGTCCCGGGTTCAATTCCGGTCAAGGGCATGTACTTTGGTTGCGGACACATCCCCAGTGGAGGGTGTGCAAGAGGCAGCTGTTTGGTGTTTCTTTCTCATCGACATTTCTAACTCTCTGTCCCTCTCAATTCTTCTCTGTGTAAAATCAATAAAATATATTTTTTTTTAAAAAAGGAAAAAAAAAAAAGAAATGTTCAGAATTAACGGTTGTAGTGAAGGTTACCTGAGTATATACATTTGTTAAAGCTCATCAAATCATAAACTTAAAATATGTGCATTTTATCATATATCATTTATACTTTAGTAAACTTAAAAAATGTTTAAAGGACTGGGGAAACGACTTTTATGTAGCAAAAAATCTTCTATATTCCAAGTACAAAGAAGTTATGGGTATTTTGTGAGGAGGAAAATGTTTTCTCTAAATAAACAGAGTTTAAAACTCCAGCGCTGTTTCTTATTTTAGACCTCTCTTAAAGAAGTAATGGGCAAAAAATGTAGAGCTCGGCAAAGTTCCAACAGAACAGGCTATTTCAAAGTTTATATAACATTGCTAAAAAAAGCATTTTCCTAATACAAATTTCCATTTATAACGTAATTATTGAATGTGGGGATAAGTGACTACTAGCTGAGGAGTTGATGAATTCTTTTTAGTTAACTTTATGATTCACATCTTTGGAATTATTTAAGCTTTAAAATAAGAAGGCTTGTTTCTCTATAATTTCTTTCATTTTCAAGATCCAATTATTCTTACAAGGAATTATTCTTACAACGGAATCTTACTATGAATCTTTCATTCTTACAATGAAATCTCTACATAGAGTTCTCCAAGTGATATCCCTATGGTAAGTCCCACACGTTGAAACTGAGACATTAAAACAAATTCTGTCAAATAAACTAGTATCAGAAGTATTTTATGCAATTTTGAGATTGGTCATTTGAGCTACTTAGTCAAATATATTATCTTCTTAATTAAATTTTATTTCTTATTACCTGATCACAATTTCTTCTAAAATTTCTAGTGCTACATATATTACTATGCTACATATATCACTCCTTTGCTTTGCAAATGAAAAAATTAAGGGTTATAGAGATTAAATACCTTACTCAAAATATTATCTTTCAAAGAAAAAACTATTAGATAAGTGCACATTAAATGATTTTTTAAGTAAAAAGTTATAGAAAGTATGTATATATGATTGGATGAATATTGATACAAATATAGAAATATTTTTTCTAGAAGAATACTCAACAGAAAACAATACTACCTTTAGAGAGAATGCCAAGGTTGGACAGAGGTAGTCTTTCTATTTTTACTTTCTATAGGACTGAAAAATTTATGACATGAACATTTGTTAAATCTATTGTTTAAAAATGATATTCTTCATTTGCACTGATGTTTATATTTTCTTTCTATTTTTCATATTTAAGAAAAAAAGTAATATTTGGCTTTTAAAACTTTTTTATTTTTTTAAGTATATTTTATTGATTATTTACAGAGAGGAAGGGAAAGGGATAGAGAATTAGAAACATCGATGAGAGAACCAACGATCAGCTGCCTCTTGCACACCCCCTACTGGAGATGTGCCCGCAACCAAGGTACATGGCCCTGACTGGAATCGAACCTGGGACCCTTCAGTCCTCATGCCAATGCTCTCTCCACTGAGCCAAAGTGATTTCGGTGTAAATTTTCTTCTTTTGTAAACAATATATCAGTGGTTTGTTAATTTAGTTGCTTAAAGCACAAAGAACAAAGGTCATAGGCTTGATTAATTACATTTGCAAAGAATAAAAATAGCCCTTAGCTACAGAATGTATTTGTAACTTTAAAAAGTCATCTGGCAAACTCAAGCTGCTGATTACAAGGATGAATCAGGTAAGTGCATATGACTGACTCAATACAAAACATTAATACTAGAAAATAACTCTAAATAATATCTTACTGACAAAGGATAAGAGAGTAGGCAGCAGAATTATTCATCTCTAACTAAATAATTCATTTTCATATTCATCAATTCAATTCACTTTTTAAAAAATATATATATACATTTTATTGATTTTTAACAAAGAGGAAGGGAGAGAGATAGAGAGCTAGAAACGTTGGTGAGAGAGAAACATTGGCCAGCTGCCTCTTGCACACCCCCTACCCGCAACAATGTACATGCCCTTGACCAGAACCGAATCTGGGACCTTTCAGTCCGCAGACCGACGCTCTACCACTGAGCCAAACCAGTCTCGGCTCAATTCACTTCTGAACAGAATAAAAACAAGACCTTAAATGTAAGAGAAAATACAGACCCTGTACTTTCAGAAATGCCAAAAAGTATATATCACAAAACTTGCTATTTTTTAAAATACTATTTTTCTTATTATATACCATATAGACATTAAATAAAAAATAAAAAAATAAAAAATAAATATATATATACCTGTAACGTCTTCTGAATCTGATACAACAATATGTGCATTTAGTTCTTGTAGCTTGTGATGCAGTTCTTCTAATTTTTTATTTGACTTTTTCAAAATGTTGTCCACATAAGCCAAACTTTTTTTATCTGTTGTGACTTTCCTCAGATTTTCAGCTCCTTCTTTGATTTTCAGTTCTTTCCTTATTTCTCTCTTGATTCGATCCTTTATATCATCCAATTTCTGTTGCACCATTGTATCTGAAAAGTCTAATTTTTGAACAGCACTCACATTCTCAGAAAATGGAAGACTTCGGGAATCTCCCTATAGGAAAAAATAAACATACATATGTAAGGGTTTAGGAAAGTTAGCTGCTCAGTAAAATGCATAGCATAAGAATAAACTATATATAAAACAATCCTTTATTAATTATATTCAATTCTTTCTTAATAAGCAACAGACTACTTATTTAACTTTATTATAACCGTATAAAATCCTAAGTTCAAAAACTGCTCAATCAACTAAGTAGCATTATCTAACAAATTTATATTAAAATAAATACAACATATCTATACACTGAAGCTGTATAAAAATATTTAGATTTTCGATATCCTATGATTCCAAGATAGATCCAATGCCCAAACTCTGATTCTTGGGTATGTTATTTAACCTATCAAAAACTTGGTTTAGAGAGAATCCAAAGATGGTGGCATAGGTAAACACCTAACTGCAGCCTCACACAACAATTTCAATAACATACAACTAAAATACAAAATGGACATTATCCAGAACTACAGGAAAGTCAACTGACTGGAAACTCTACAACTAGAAGAAAAGAGAAAACCAGAAGGAAAATCAGAGGAGCTGTAAAAGCCTAAGGTACGGAGACACGCTGCTCGCATGGAGAGGACAGAGCCAGAGAGGACAGAGCCAGTACCTGGCTGGCTTTCACTAGGGGGAAGGAAATATAAGCTCCAGACTGTGCTGAACACCAGATCCGACAGCACTGAACCCCAGTTCTAGGCCAGACTCTGGGGACCCAGGCTCATACAGAGGGGGCCTGGGCTGTGAGGCAGAAACCCAGGGGAGCGGCGAATGAAGTCCCGGAGGCGCACACATTGTGCGCAGAGAACGGACAGTTGACTCTCCCTGAGGATTGCCCTGGCGGGAAGGAGACAAAAGCTCCAGACTGTTCTGAACCCCACTTCCAATCCCACTTCCAACTGAACTGAACCCCACTTCCGGGCTCATTAGGGGAGAGCCTAGACTGTTGGTAGCGGGCAAAACTCAAGGGCACCTTTCAGAGGTGCTTGCAGTGAGTACCAAAAGACACTGAGAAACACTGAGACTTAGGAGCCTCATAGGGCGGGGCTTTCGGAAGCCAAGGCTGTAGGTTCCACCCTGAAACTCCGCCCCATCCAAGCTGAACAGAGACTTTTAAGGCTACCAATACAGGGAAGCTGCAAAAACGGCGAGACAAGGAAACAGATCACAAACGAAAGTAATGGAGGACAAAAAAAACAACTGGATATAGAGTTCAAAACCACGGTTATAAGGTTTTTCAAGAATTTCCTAGAAAAAGCCGAAACCGGTTTGGCTCAGTGGATAGAGCGTTGGCCTGCGGCCTGAGGGGTCCCAGGTTCAATTCTGGTCAAGGGCATGTACCTTGGTTGCGGGCACATCCCCAGTTGGGGGTGTGCAAGAGGCAGCTGGTTGATGTTTCTCTCTCATCGATGTTTCTAATTCTCTATCTCTCTCAATTCCTCTCTGTGTAAAATCAATAAAAATATATTACAAAAAAAAAAAAAAAATTTCCTAGAAAAGGCCAATAAAATAAAAGAGAACTATGAGGATATGAAAAGGGATCAACTAGAAATAAAAAGGAATCAACTAGAAATAAAGAAAACATTGTCTGAAATAAAAAACATTATAGAGTCCTAAAAACAGTCTGGAAGAGCCCAGGAATCAAGACAAAGATTTGGAACACAAAGAGCCAGAGGACACTCCTCTGCAGAAGCAAGAAGATAAAATAATCCAGAAAGTTGAAGATAGTGTAAGAAATCTCTGGGACAAGTTCAAAAGAACCATTAGAATTATGAAAGTCTCAGAAAAAGAGAGAGAGCAAGATACTGAAAGCTTATTGGGAAAAATAGTGACAGAAAACTTCCCCCACCTGGTGAAAGAATTAGACTTACAAGTCCAGGAAACGCACAGAACCCCAAACAAAAGGAATCCAAAAAAGACCACACAAGACACATCATAATTAAAATTCTAAGAGCAAAAGACAAAGAGAGAATATTAAAAACAGCAAGAGAAAAGCAGGTAATTACCTATAAAGGAGCACCCATATGATTGTCAGCCGATTTCTCAACAGAAACCATTCAGGCCAGGCGGGAATGGCAAGAAATATTCAAAATAATGAATAGCAGGAACCTACAGCCAAAAATAATCTACCCAGCAAAGCTATCACTCAGAATCGAAGGCCAGATAAAGAGCTTCACTAATAAAAAAATTTAAAAAAGCTAAAGGAGTTCATCACTGTCAAACCAGAATTATATGAATTGCTGAAGGGGGTTCTTTAGGAAGAGGAAGAAAATAAAGATAAAAATTATGAACAACAAATACATAACTATCAACAATCTAAAAACCAAGGGAATTAAAAAATCTGATGAACAATATTAACTGTTGAATATAGTAGAATCAGCGGTATGGAAGGGGAGTGAACTGACGATTCTCAGGGGAAAGGGGCATGGGGGATATGGGAAGAGACAACATAAACTGTGCACCTATGGATGAGGACAATGGGGGGTGGGGAAAGGGCAGGGGGGGAGGGGGGGAACCTGGTGAGGGGAAGCAATTGAGGGGGGGGGGGATGAGGAACATTTGTAATAATATGAACAATAAAGATTTATTTAAAAAAACAAAGTTCAATTCCCTATGAAATCCTATCTAATAAAGAGGAAATATGCAAATTGACCATCACAAAGATTACCTCCCACACTGGAGGCGGGGTTTCCGTAACACAAGATGGCTGTGCCCACAGCAAAGGTGGTGGATTCAAATGATGGCTGCACCCACAGTGGAAGCCAAGTTCCCTTAACCAGCCTTAAGGAGCAATCAGTAGGGACCTGAGGCTGCAGGGTGCTGGCTGGTACCTGTAAAACCCCCACCCAGTGGAGCTTGACGGGACCACAGGCTACCCCTGCATAAGGCCAGGGGACCTCAGGCCGCATCCTCTTCCCCTGACGGAATGCTTGCTTCATCTCCGCAGTGACAAGGCAAGCTTTCCACACCTGGCCATGGATGGGTCTCTAGAATGGCCAGGGCATGGAATGCTTGCAGGCCTCTGGGAAGCAGGCACTGACAGGCCAGGTCCTGCAATAAGCTATTGGTGCACGGATTTGTGCGCAGGGCTACTAGTAGTAAGATAAAAATCCATTTTATCTTCTATGAGAACACTCTAAAAAATTAAAATTGGCAAAAATAGAATAAAATTATATCCTTTTGACAACTTTTTAATGAATTAAGGGTTGGAAAGGCTATATTCATAATTCTATTTGTATATTGCATGGCTAACTATCCCAACTGATAATTTGGTTGACCCCCTACAAAAACATCATTTATTCAGTTTCCAAAGTTTATAAATACACCTTTATTTGGTTGTCAAAACACTAGCACATAAGACTATTCAAAAATAAAACCCCACATTTCTGCTGTCTATCTTCAGGTAAAGTGCACTGACACAATGTTTAGATGAAAAAGTTCAAGGTAATTGCATTCCTCCAAATATCTTTCTATCCTTATAATCTTAAAAAACATCACATGAACTGCTTTCACAAATTTGTTTTTTAATATTAAATATACCAACCCAGAGGGGTTCTCTAAATTTCCGGGTTCCTACTGACCTTAGTGTTTCAGTACTTTTTTCTTTATGCCCCACAGTCTAAAGGGAACATCTAATAATTCCCATTTATTAAGTAGTTAGGTTCAAATAACTTAATACTTATAACCTAGTAATTAATTGAAGTGCTACCACCTAGAAGAAAAAATTACATTTTTATTCCGTTCTTTAATAACCATAGTCACTTAATAATAGGATGTGTCTGCCTGTTGATATCTTCACAATTTCTCAAATCTTAAAATCAAAATGGATATTCCCACCTTCATTTGCTGTTTCATTGTACAAAGTGAGTGTAGAATAATATAATATTGAAACTTAACTGATTCCAGTTAGTTCACATGGTATTCAACAAATAGTGTCACTATGTTTCCCTTAAAGAAATTAAAATATACTGCAGCAACCTGAGCGTTTGCTGAGGCATCCCATAGCCTATTGCTTAATTTGAGAATCATGGTACTAATATTTAAAGGCTGTTAACAACATGCATTGCCTACTTCAACTCCCATTTCTTTTCTGTTTGCTTCCTAAATTTCAATAAAATTATAGAAGTTCATTGACAAAGACAATCTAATCTCTCTTGGTTTAGCTAGTTTGCACGCTATACCTTTAAAATACACTACCTTTTCTTTCTTCAACCATCTGTTAACTTTTACTTTGTCCAAGTTCACCACAATTCTTCCTAAGAATTTCCTGCTTATGACCTTTCATAGAATTTAGATTAAATATCTTTCCAATATGCTCTGTATGGATACAATTTAAACAATTATTCATTTCTTATCCGACCACCCCACAAACTATGAGCAATTTAAGAGCAGGGCTTATGCTAGGCACAGTTCTGTTTTATTCTATTAATAATTTTTCTATTATACTATTTAATATTCTTTTAGAATTCAGGAAATTTGTCACTCTAAGGAAGTCATGCTTTCCTATGTCTGATAAAGAGAACTCATACTCCAAGAAGCTTAAGAGCAGAACTGATATTCAATCATAGCAACTTATTAACTAGAATTAGCTATGAATCACATGTAGTTAGCATGTTGATTTCTCTATTCCTTTTCATAAACCTGAACTTTTAATAACTTCAATTTTACTCCCACCTTTTGTTGTGATATGGCTCAAACACCTTTTGGAAAGGAGCAGGTTGATACATAGAATATAGTCAGTAATTTAAGATAAAAAAAAAAAAAAGCCTTATGAGGACAGATAAAAAAAAGTTATAATACTTTCTACCATGTTTCCCCAAAAATAAGACATCCTCCGAAAATAAGACCTAGTGCAACTTTGGGAGAAAAAATTAATATAAGATACTCTTATTTTTGGGAAACAGGGAATTACTCCTTTCCTAAAACTTTTAATTACAATGAAAGTTATTGGAAAATGTAATTCTCTTGTTTTTGGAACAACTGAAATGAGATACTTCATC